GACTTCCTCTCCGCTAATTACCCAGCAACCGTCCTGACTAATTGTCAGGTCCTCGCGTGCATCTGATGTCTTAAAATATCAGCAGAAACGGTGAGAGGAGGAGAGGAAAGGGGCGGAACAAAGCGGGTTGGAGCTTCTGCTTTGAAGTGGCGTGCGACCCGTAAACCAGCAGAACACCATGCTGAAGGAGGGGGATCCATCTCCTCAGAAAGACGTAGTTTGTTTTTAAAAAGGGGAAATAAATACACAAGACATAGAGGCAGTTTGTTTGAAATTACACGAGGAGAAAACACCTGAAATAAAAACTAATTAAAGGGCTCTGAAGCCCACCAGCTCAAACTGGAAGAATCCAGTCCCACTGCTGAGATGTTCTGAGACAAAAATAAATAAACTCAAGTTAAATTAACATTTTTAAACAACAGTTTGGATGTAAAACTAAGAAAATAAACACAGAACTGCTGGATGGGCTTTGGCCTGAAGAAGCTGGTCCGTTTAGAACCGGTACCAAACAGCATGAACCATGAGTGGAGCAATGGTGTTATCAGGTAGTTGCTGGAGCCGACACAGAAGACTCTTCATAGACACAACAGACGACATTACTCAGTGGAGTTTCAGGTCATTTTTACATGAGATGGGTGGACAGAGAAGCTAAACGTTAGCTGAAAAGCTTATAGTAGCAAAAGCTTAGCTGAAGACCACAAGTAGCGAAGGGTTTGCTAAAAGCTAATAGCAAAAGGTTAGCTAAAGCTAAAAAATAGCCAAAGGTTAGCTAAAAGATTAAAATAGCACAAAGCTAATTAGAGGCTCAATGTAGATAAAGGCTAAATGCTAAAAGTAGCAAAATTATTTTAAAGCCAAAAGTAGCAAGAGGCTAGCTAAAATCAAAAAGTATCAAAGAGCCACCTTAAAGATAAAATTAACAAAAGGTTAGCTTAAAACAATAAATAGTAAAAGACAGACTACAAGGTAAAAGAACAAGCTAATAGTGGTAAAGTTTATTCCAGATCCTGCTGAACATTTTGATTTCTGAACAAGTGAATAATTCAGAAGTAGTTTGAGTCTAAAAGCCATCTGGAACAAACTGTAAACAATCTGAATGCTGATGCTAATCAACATAACGAGACATAAACAACAACAGGAAGTGTTTTTGTGTCGACTTCTCCCAGATGGAGCCTGGTTGTTTTTACCTTCAGGTCTTTTTTCTGAATCTTTCTGAAGCTGTTTCTAAATAAAAACTGGCGTCAAGGCTGCCATTTCTGAACTGCACCTCCTCATGTTGCTGCGTGACGCTGGCAGCTGGCAGTAGCACACACGATGAACATGATTTGTTGCACATAAGAGCACAAAGAGGTTTAGGTGAAGGTGGAAGACAACTCTGGATGCAGATCCATGAGTCAGCTGATAGGATCCTCATCACTGACTCTGAGTGGAACAAAGATTAAATCATGATGAGTAAGGAAGCACAAGGAGAGGAGGAGGAGAATAAGAGGTGAATGACAGGAGGACAAGAGGTGAAGGATAAGATGTAGATGACTAGAAGAGGAAGAGAGGTGGAGGACAAATAAAGGAGGATGAACTGTGGAGAATGAGTTGAATGAGAGGTGGATGAGAAGAGAAGGTTGACAGTAGGAATATTATAGGTGGAGAATGGGAAGAAGATGGGAGCTGGGATTAGAAGAGAAGAGACAGATGAGAAGTAGAAAAGGTAAAGGATGAGAGGATAAAAGCAGGAGGATGGGAAGAAGAGGATAAGAGGTGGAGAATAAAGGTTAAAGAATGGGAGGTGGATGGCCAG